CCCGCGGATACATATAATTCAGAAGAATATGTGAGTGATTCATACACAACATCTCTTTCTTTTATCAAGGGTTCGACCAATTGATATGTTTCCACAAATAATTGAAATTCAATTTCTTGATCCGTATCTTCAATTTTTGAAAACTTATAAAGTTCTTTCATCAAACCTTCTTCAATGAGCTTACAAAATCCTTTAAATTGTATTTGATTAAATCCAGGTATTGTAGATATTCCCTCATTTCCATCCCGGAGCATTTTTAATTTCCCATTTATGAAAAATTATCACTATTGGTTAATTCTTCATCTAACTAGATAGATTAGATAAATGATCTTGCAATGATGGCATTTCTATTTTATTTACCGAATCACATGAAATTTTACCCAACTCAATATCTACAATGTATGAAATACGTATGAACGGAGGAAGAAAGAGAATTTTCTACCTAAATTGAATTGGAATTTATTGGAATTTTCAATAGATACAAATGGAAAGAAATTGATAAAACATCCCTAGAAACAGACTTCTACTACTTAGACTTATCAATTAAGTTATAGGATTTCGTATAGAATATCAAAACAAAAATGATTCCATTTATACCATTATTATGATAAGACATATTCCAACCTGCTTGAATACCAGAAAAATAAATGGATTGGACATTTGATCTTTTTACTGAGATAAAGGCATAAAAATAAGAAAGAATATATAGAATTAGAATCGGTCTTTTGGCATTAAACCCCCTTTTATGTTATGGATTTTGTTTTTCAAAAAATGATTCGCAGAGAAGAGAGAGACTTTGTTTACGAATTTTTGAGTAGAATACGATTGTGAAGTGTATAAGATAAGAAGGTTTGTATGGCTTAAACACGTGTGGAGATATCTATAATATCCATCTTTCTTTTCTTTTATTATTTTATTGTCATTCTATGTTCTATTCGGGGCAACACAGGTTGTGCTCTATGAAAACAAAATTGAAATTTTCTATTCAATTCAAAATGAAAATTGAAGTATGATACATTTTTTATATCTGATAATTTTATATCAGGAAAATATAAAAATAATAT